GCCTACTAATGTGTGAGATTATCATCATCGTTTGGTGATGCAGTACATTGATGAGAATGTGATTGAACTATTCAAGTTTGTGGAGCATCCGGCAGCCTCGCTCTCTGCCTCATTAAATAAAGGAGGCTTTAAAACTACACGTTTCCCTCGTCCTCTCTGTTCTGTTTTTTGCATCATACATAGCTTATTTTCTTCACCAAGTAGCTCAAAATACTTGATAATAATTTTTCTGAAAAGTGCACTTTGCAAGAAAATTCAATTACTATTCTACTATACTAACTGTACTGTAAAACTTCAAATTAAAGCCCAATGGGCTTAATCTCGAAAGGAAGCCCATCTCAAATTGAAGCCCACCTCTTCAGTTGGCAAAATGAACCTCTTCTTTTCAAGATAGCATAGGCTTCTTCTCTAGATAACAGTACATACACTCTACATGAATTTCAAAGAAATAAAATAAATTAAAGACACTCTTGGTTTATACTTTAGTGAGCCTCGAAATTAATGAGCCTCGAAACAGTGGCGGCTCTAGGATATATTTTCTGGGGGGCTAAGTTGTCCGACAGGGGGGACTTGAGCTTGTAGGCTCGAGCTGGAGGAAGGGGTTGAGAGGGGGTTCCCCCTCTCAAATGAGATTTTTTTTTAAATATCAACCTCTGGATGGCCGAAAATGGCACTCTCAGACATGTGTTGGCTTGGTGTGGGCCTATTTTTATATGTTTTATTGGCTGACTGCCCGACGAGCTCTGTCTGGAGGGGGGCTTGACCTGTCCGGTGGGGGTTTAAGCCCCCTGCCACCCCGCTGGGGCCGCCACTGCCTCGAAAAGAAGCCCATGGGCTTCTTTTCAAGATAACATGGGCTTCTTTTCGATATAATACACTCTACATGAATTTCAAAGAAATGAAATAAATTAAAGGCACACTTGGTTTATACAGTAGTTTAGGTGATTTAATGCTGATTAATACACTCCAAGATACACATTGATGCTATAGTGTCCCTATTTATTGTTTTATAGTACTAATTCCCCCCAAAAAGCCCCCCTTTTTAAGTTGCAAAAGTGGCCTCGAAAAGAAGACCATCTAATGTTCGCAAAAAAAAGAAGCCCAGGGCTTCAATTCGAGGTTTTACGGTAGGCCAACAATATACTTGATAAAAAGGCATACATAGTGTAAAACCACCTTCCGGTAACATCCCATAATATATACCACCCTATAGCTAGTAACTCATTGCTTTTAGTAACCCGCCCTATAAATAGTAAGCCAGTGCTTTTAATTAATATCCCCACCCTATGAATTGTAATCCAGTGCTCTCTTAATAACATGCTAAAACTTTCGTTTCATCCTGCAAGACGAATGTAGCAGCGAAGTGAGGCTCCTGATTAATTATTTATGAGTATATCTCACCTCATCGTGGGTTTCCTATTTTCTGATTGGCTAAAACAAATCTGTGTTGCTTTTATGTGTACTGCAGAAAAAAAAATGCATCCTGGACTTTTGTTTGTGGTGATGGCAGATGCTTAGTGGGGTTCGGCCTAAGTAGGACCTAGCCCAAGTCTAGCGAGAAGAGGGTCTAGCCTAGCCCAGTGGTGGCACCAGCGGGGGGGGGGGCTTATACACATCT